GAAAGCAAGGAAATCTATTATGGACTGGGTTTAGAATGACACCTAGGCATTAGTAGTCAGTTAGGTGTGCTGATGGCATTGTGCTATGTAAGAAAATGTCCAAAATTTTTACAGCTTCATACTGAAATATGTCTGAGCAAAATGACATGTCTGTGGTTTGTTTCAAAATACTTTGACAGTGAAAAAAAGTCTTGATAGTAGTTGAATCTGGGAGGTGGGGAGGATGGGTTTATAGTGCCCTTTACTTTCATGTATGTTTGAAATTTTTCACAATAAAAATATTGAAGTATACGTAGTTCAAATAGTTTTAAAGTCTTGTTATGAAAAAAAGCAGTCCCCTGTCCCTCTCTGTTACTTCCCAAGAGTAACTACTTTAACCTCTTCTAAAAGAGTATTTGGGTATTAACTTTCTATATAACCTGTCTGCTACTTCCTGATTTTTTTTTTTTTTTTTTGGTGTTATTTGCAAACTTTTCACTACAGAAGATAATTTATTTTTCCTTCCATACACACTCCCTCCCCCACCATGCCCACATAACTATTCAAGTCCTTAATCCTCCTAATACATGACAATGATCAGAATTCATTTTATCAATCTACTATTATGGTTACATAAATACTAAGTGTTACTTTTCTATACGACTTTTTATTCTCACTGGAATTAATAACTGTCTTTTTATCGGCTTGATTTCTCTGTGTGCTATATATATTAATCTACTCCAAACCTTCCACCAACTATTCATTTGGTTCTCAAGGTATGGACCATGTACCCCTAGGAATCTCTGAGACCCTTCCAGGAGTCCAGGAGGTCAAAACTATTTTCATAATAATACTAAGGCAGTGTTTGTCCTTTCCACATGCTGATATTTACACTGGTGGCACAAAAGCCCTCGTGGGTAAAGCGGCTGCCTTGGTGCAAATCCGACAATGGCACCCAGCGCATCTGTGGCTACTGCACTCCAATACCTCATACTTGTATCGAACAACTGAATGCTCTGACCAGAGGAGTAAAGATTATTAATTTTATGATGTCTCAACCCTTGATTGCTAGTCTTTTTCACTTTTGCTGCATGTAGAAGCACGCTGGTGGTCTTGAGGAAAAGCATTTACATAACTGAGTCGTGAACTGATTGCTCATTTTATGGAACACCATTTTCACCTGAAGGAACAACTGACACACAAACTATAGTTATTTAGACTCGGGTATTTTGGGGAGAGTGAGCACACACTCTGGTGTCTGTTTTGTTTTTGTTTGTTTGTTTTTTTTTGTCCACACGCGGTCTCACTATGTTGCCCAGGCTGTGCGATTCTCTTGCCTCAGCCTCCCAAAGTGCTGGGATTACGGGCATGAGCCACAGTGCCCAGCCCCGCCCCCCACCTTTTTTTTTTGAGGTAGAATCTTACTCCTATTGCCCAGGCTGGAGTGCAGTGGCGTGATCATGGCTCACTGCAGGCTCGATTTCCCAGGCTTAGGTGATCCTCCCACCTGAACCTCCTGAGTAGCTGGGACTACAGGCGCATGCCACCACACCTGGTTAATTTTTGTATTTTTAGTAGAGACAGGGTTTCAATATGTTGCCCAAGCTGATCTCGAACTCCTGGGGTCAAGCAATCTGCCCACTTCAGCCTCCCAAAGTGTTGGGACTACAGGTGTTAGCCACTGTGCCTGGTGCAACCAACTTCTGAGAAACTATTAAAGTCTGGTGTAGTACAAAAATGAATACCCACAATTATCTGAAAAAGTTATTAAAACGCTCCTTTCTTTTCCAGCTACATATCTACATATCAACCAAAACAACTGATTCCAACAGACAGAATGTAGAAGCCCATGAGAGGATCCAACTTAGCGTCTTCTTTTTTCTTTTTCAGATGGAGTTTCGCTCTTATTGCCCAGGCTGGAGTGCAATGGCACGATCTCAGATCACTGCAACCTCCGCCTCCTGGGTTCAAGTGATTGTCCTGCCTCAGCCTCCCAAGTGGCTGAGATTATAGGTGCCCGCCACGAGGTCCAGCTAATTTTTTTTTTTTTTTTTTTTGAGACGGAGTCTCGCTCTGCCGCCCAGGCTGGAGTGCAGTGGCCGGATCTCAGCTCACTGCAAGCTCCGGGAGGTGGGGTTTCACCATGTTGGCCAGGCTGGTCTTGAACTCCTGACCTCAAGTGATCCACCTGCCTCGGCCTGTGAAAGTGCTAGGATAACAGGTGTAAGCTATGGCGCCCGGCGCTTAGCATCTTCTTTAAGACAGACCTGAAGGATAGTGTAGTAGCTTCGACAGGGATACTGACTATCTGGCCCTTTACAGGAAAAGTCTGCCAGCCCTGATCTAAGTGATTCCTTCACTTCTTTCCTGTATTGGATTATTTGTTTCCTGGGTCCCATGTCTTCCTCTTTCTTCATTTACTCCTCCTTCATTTTGGTGAAGCACAACCTCTGGTGGCTTCCTGAGAAAGGGTGTATGAGATGGACATTTTTGTTGAAGCCTTGTATGTCTGGAAAAGCCCTTTCCTACCCTTTTTATCGATAGCTTTGTTGGGTACAGAATTTTGGCATGGAGATCACGGTCCTTCAGAAATTAGAAAGCTTTGCTTCACTGTCATCTAATTTCTAGGGTTGTGGTAGAAAAGTCTGAAGTTATTCTGATTTCTGATTTTATTGTATGTCTTTTCTTTGTCCACAGTGTTCTGAAATTTTATAATGTTGTGTCTTGATGATGTGTCTCTATACCTGTGCTAGGCAGTATGCCCTTTCAATATGGAAAATTATATCTTCCAGGAATGGGGCATTTCCTAAAATTATATTGTTGATCATTTCTTTTCCTCTGTTTACTTTGTTCTGTATTTCTGGAATGGTCATTGAACAGATATTGTATATCTTGGACTAGTCCTCCAATTTTTTTGTCTTTTCTATATCTTTCTGGGACAACTCCCAACTTTACCTTTCAATAGATATCTTGAATCTCTAATTCTTCTAACCTATGTTTAATTCCCAAGAGCTCTTTTTTTCCCTCCAAATGTTTCTTTTTTTAAAGTATCAAGATTTTGTGATACAGCTATTTCTTTTTTTAAAAAATTCCCTAAAGACATAAGTGCTAATTTCTTTTCCCTGCTAGTGTATTTCGTTCTAGTTACTTTTTCCTGTGTGTTTTCTTCATTTCCTGTTTGTTTACTTTTTTCCTGTTTGTTTGTACTCCAGTTGAATTATACATATACTTAAGAGCCCAAGGGCTAAGTGTAAACTCTGGACAGGGCTTCATCAAAGTAAAATAAAGCTATTGTTGAATCAATGCATTAGTAATAGCTTCCCTATTTCATATTAGAAGCTTCTTTCGGGTTGTCTCTTCATACATGGAAATGAAATCCTAAAAAGCTCTGACTGTGTGGGTGAAACTTATTAATAGTCTGTAAACTTTACTGTAGGGAGAGACAGCTGGGCTGTTGATTGGGAAACTCTTAAGGTTAGTATCTTTATGTTTTTATTCCTCGCTATTCAGATTCCTCAGAGATTTTCCCACGTCCCGACTCATGGATATAGGCCTGGCGACCAGAATTCTGGGGCTGGCAGCAAAAAGAAAGCTGATACTCTTAACATTCAGTATGCCAACAGTCACTCAATCTCCCCCAAGGTGTCACTGCCATCAAGCATGTTTGATGTTCTCTAGTTCCGACACCTCTTACTTTACCCTGTCCAGAGAACACATTTCTGATCTTCCGCTAAGTTACAGGAGGGGCAATTTTTAAAAATAAACTTTCAATACTGTTGTTAGCCTCATTCTCCCCCACCCCTCCCCCACCTTCTAGAATTATCTGGTACTGTCAATTTCTGAATTGTTTAGGGTTCTTCTGCGTAAACTGGGTTGTTTCTTGGCTTTCTCTATTGCTGGCTCAGGATTCAGCTTTCTCAGGACTGCTAAGTCAGTTACACTCATCCATCTGCTACCCAGATTCCAAAATTTTGTTGCTGTTGTCTCCTCTCCCACTCTCTTTGTCCTTGTGGGTTTATGTCTTAAAAAAAAATCCCTTTACTGTTGTTTTAGTGAGGTTTTGGGAGGGAATGAAAGTAAATGTGGGTATTTGATCCTCTATCTTTATTTGGAACCTCTTTATAATTAAATATCTTTTTTTACTTCCATTTAATATTACAGTATAAACACTTCCCATGTTCTTCCATGGTCTCTGTCAACAACTTTAATAACTGCATATATTCCATTGAGAAGGCACCAGAGCTTACTTAATCAGGACCCTACTTCTGAATGTTTGGAGTTGTTTCGGTTGCAGGAGGGGACTAGTTTCTCTTTCATGTATCTCTCTCCTGTCGTTCCCTATGATATGCATAGGCACATCCCGATAACAGGCACAGACATCTTTTTCCCTATGCTTAGGAATCCCTGCTGACATCCTTCTCTCTGTTCTTGGTCTGTGGTTTCACCACCTTGTGCCTTGATTATAGCACTACCTTGCTAATTCATCTTCACAGCTCCAATCATCCTGCATGACGATGCACCACTGACCTTTCTACAATCAGCTTTCTCATGACACTTCAGAGGAGCCCTAACACCTACAATTCATTTGTGATTCTCCAGTTTGATTTCACCCCACCTATGTAAACTTCCCACTTTACCTAACATCCACCTCCAAACAGGCTCTGCTCTCCTAACTGCAGGCTGGGCTGCCCCTCCTGCCTTTGCCAATCCTCATTCAATCCCACTTACACCCTGTCTCCTGCATTAGCCTCCCGGGCATCACCCTGCTTACTCAATTTCTTCCTTCACCTGATAACAGACATGAAACCTGTTCAAAGTGCTTAGGGTCAGTCTTGCCTTCTAAGTGGGGCCGACGGCTCTTCTGAGGCAGGGACTCTGACATTTCTCTATGACGGCTGCTCCATATCTCCCTTGTCCTGGCTACCATGGCACCCAAGCCAGTGCCAGGCACATGGTGAGTACTTCATGACTCATGGAATGGAACAGAGGTAAGTGGAGAAAGAAAACGTGTAAGTTGTTACCTTGCCCTCTGGAGTCAGTGTCCAGATCACAGAGAAGGTCAGCTTGTCAGACATGGGGTTGAGGCTGCACAGCTCCTCACACAGCAGCCTGGGAAGCATGGGGACCACCTGGAAAACAGAGCACAGGCCCATGAGCACCTTTCTCCAACCTGCTTAGAAGAAGCCCAGCGGGCAGAGTTTTGGTGAACAGCTTCAGCTTTTCCAGAGCAAGCTGAAGATGGAGGTGGCTCTGTTCCCAAAGACTCTGCAGAAAGACCACACTCTTGTATACTTTTCCATGTGCCTCTAGAGTCAGACGGGAATGTGAGCTGGGAAAGTGAGGAGAACTGGTAAAAGAAGACAAAAAGCACATTGCAAGCAATGGAAAATAGCTACATTGTATTATCTACTAAACCTGAAGCTCCAGACTCAAGAAGTACTTGTGCTTTTGGATATAAGTACTCCAGTTGAATTATACATATACTTAAGAGCCCAAGAGCTGAGTGTAAACTCTGGACAGGATTTCGTTAAAAGTAAAATAAGCTATTGTTATTGCTGAATCAATGTTTTAGTAATTGAATATACCGCAATTTACCAAATTACATTTTGGAACATTAAGAGAATACTTCACTAAAATATCACTGGAGTGATAAAACTGAAAGGGTCATACATCCAGGTTTCCCAGATAAACATTGTGATCAAGTAGTTATCTATTTTCCCATTTTTTAAGCCTAAATCATTTATTCTCCTTATTGTTCTTTCTGTTCCATAATAAACTGAGTCAATAGTATATAATCTTTAATTAAAAATTGTTTTTCAGCTTACTTTCAAATGATGACTAGAAGTGATCCCAAAATATTACTTGTTTTTTTCTAGTATTCCAAAGATGAAATGAATATCTCTACCTGTATCTCCTGAAGATACTTCAAAAACTCTCTCCTATCTACGCCTATCTGTTCCTTTTCCCATATTTTTCTTGGGACCATCCACCCCATCTCTCTAACTAAAAACATCAGCAGTACTAGCCATTTACTCAACACACTTATTATGGCCCACTTTGGCTCGCAGTGTTGAGCATGGATAACACTGAAACCCCATGCTAGGTAACTGAGAAGTGATATGCAAAGGGCGGCCATGCTGTAGTTGAGGTACATTTAGCAAATTATGTTTCTTTATGGGCAGAAACAGAACAAACCCCAGCAGCTTCTTATTCTGCATGAAGTATCAGCAACTGTACTCTACTTTAGTACAGTAAATATCTTTGGTATGGAACAGTAAATTCTAGAACTCATGGCCCAAACCAATAACAAATAATTGGCAATTGTTTGGTATTTCTAAAAAATGCCATCTCTTTTAACATCTATATGAAACCTAATGACTACCTGATATCTTTGGTAATAGCTTTTCCTAACAGCCTTTGGTAAAAGCTTTTACAGACAACTACTTTTGAAATTTTTTTTTTGCATTACTTTTGCACCATCAGTTCAGACAATACTATATTTTCTTTGCTAACTTATTTTGTGATGCATTACAATGTAATCCAAATATTTAACATTTTCTTGTATATATCAAGTGTTTTATAAAATGGTACATCTTCACCAGTTTAAAAATAGTGCACAAAATGGAGAAAGCTTCAATATGATACCATCATGGTTGAATGATAAAGATTTCACATACTCAGCCTTTGGGCTATCCTAGGGACTGAATTGGCACCCTCCCTGCCACCCCCCCACCCCACCCTGCAGTTATATGTTAAAGCCCTAACCCCCAGTGTGACCGTATATACAGATAGGGTCTTTCAGAGGTAAGTAAGGTTAAATGAGGACATAGGGTGGTGCCCTGGTCTAATAGACTGGTGACTTTATAAGACGAGAAAGAGACACAAGTCTCTCTCTGCATGAGTAGGCACAGAGAAAAGGCCATGTGAGGCCACAGCCATATACAAATGAAGAAGAGACCATCACCAGGAACTGAATTGGCTAGCACCTTGATATGGGACTCTGGCCTCCAAAACTGGGAGAAAATAAATCTCTGTTGTTTAAACTATGGCATGTCACTATAGGAGCCTGAGCTAAGACAGACTACATCAAGTTTGCTGGGTGTGCATTCTTGTATTCTCCTCTGGGCTGCATTAACAGACAGTTTGTTCTATCAACTGTATTTTGGTAACTGGCTGCTCAGCCACCCAGCATGCTTGTTGCAATGACATTAGTCCAGGGCGTAATGCCTTTTGTACAGATAGTGTGTCTTCTAAGTGTTCAAGGCAGTATCTTACTTTAAGTCACAAAACTGAGCATCTGATAATGCATTATAGTTCCTAACTTCATATTTCAGTGTTTGTCAAAAGAAAGTCATTATAACTTGGGCCAGAACTAGACCGTGGAACACAAGGGAAACACTGATGGAAAAACTAGTGAAATTCAAATAAAGTAAGGAGTTTAGCTAACAGTAATATTCCAATGTCAGTTTCTGAGTTAGGACACATGAAGCGTAGTCACATAAGACATTAACATGGAGGAACTGGGTATGGGACCACTCTGTCCTACCCTTGCAAGTTCTCTGTCAACTGCAAGCATTCCAAAATAAATGAGCTTATTAAAAAGAAAGTCACTGTTTTCATTAATTGGTGTTGTGTTACACATTTAAATATGAAATAAATGTATGCTAATTATCTAGTGAAAACCTGATCTGTTTCTATATGTTGGAATTTGGGGTTCAGATATAATTTGCAAAAAGGGCCTCACCACTTAAAAAAATACAACAAGGTCTAAAGACCTTTTTACCAATGAGTGAAGAAGTATAGACTCAGCAGCAGCATGGTGCAGGAAATAGAACAAAGGCTTTGTTTCCTTTGCTGCACCTTTCCTGCGGGCTTGGGGGCTAATCCTGGGCTGACTGCTTCTTGTACACTTTGGGCAAGTTAGTAAAATTTTGAGTCTTGGTCTTCTTATTGGTAGAACAATACTGAAGACGCTCAGTGAAAGCTCACTGGCCAGTCCGTGGTGTCCAAGGTGTGCTGTCACCGGGCTCAGCATTCCCTTCTGCCTTGTGCCCTGGCCCTGTCCTGGGGCACTGGCAACAGCAGTCACATGGGCCTTCCCGCTGCACCCCCTTCACCTGTCTGTGTGCTGCTCCAGCTCTTGCTTGTGCCAGTCCCTCTTTCTGAAACACCTTTCTAGATATTTTACATCTGGCAAACTCTTGTACATCCTTTCAGATTCAGTTCATTGCCACTAAAAGGTTTATCCAAAATCCCCCAGGCATAGTGTGTGCTGTATTTTATATACCTCCCCTGTTCTTTCAAAGATGATTTGGGGCCATCCTACACAGTCAGCCACTTACTCCATCCTCCCTGCTCTTCAGCTGCATTTACCACACTGTCCTAATTGCTTCTTCAGGTGCCTCGAGTGCCACGGACACTGAAACCTCAGGAGCAAGGGCCAGGCCTCACTCCTGTCTCTCTCTACACCTGATGCATGGTAGGCACTTCCAGTGTGTAGACAACTGACTGGCTTCTGCCCAGGAGATGGATCACCTCTTTTTTTCTATGTTTACTGCATCACATAAAACATTTTATGAAATACACGAGACTTATATTTAAGCATCTCGACAAAAAAAACTTCATAAACAACTAGTATTTTAAGTATAAGCTACACTGTTTGGGCTACTACCTCCTAAAACTTATCAGCACATGCAGTGATTGTGCAGGCTATAAAAATTGTGTAGTGTCCTATATCTTACACAAAAGACATTTTATTAATCACACTGCAATGGTCAGTTACCAATCTAAGTGCTCATGAAAAAGCTGAACTGTAAAACTTTTTGGTTAGTATAATTATATTTATTTTTATTTATTTTTTTTTTTGAGACAGTCTTGCTCTGTCGCCCAGGCTGGAGTGCAGTGGCGTGCTCTCGGTTCACTGCAAGCTCCACCTCCCAGGTTCATGCTATTCTCTGGCCTCAACCTCCCGAGTAGCTGGGACTACAGGCGCCCACTACCATGCCCGGTTAATTTTTTGTATTTTTAGTAGATACGGGGTTTCACTGTGGTCTCGATCTCTAGACCTCATGATCCACCCGCCTCAGCCTCCCAAAGTGCTGGGATGATAGGTGTGAGCCACTACGCCTGGTCCCTATTATATTTAATTTTTAAGAAGCATTCCTTATAAAAGACATTTACCAGGTCTTAAAGCAGAATTGAGTTGAAATTCTCATAGAAAACACTCTTTATGTTTATATAGTTTTGTAAATAGATGGTTATTCCTCTGTGTTTCAAAGGAAAAGGAATTAAGAGGTTACAATCACATTTGTGGTTTGGCACATCAGTCTCTCATAAATGGGGCCTAATTCCTGCCAGCGTCACTGTGAATGTGCTCTCCCACAACCCCAGGCACAGCAGGATCCCTGTGGAGGAGGGCTGGAAAGGAGAGGCAGGCAGTCCCTTCTGATCAGCTGCTTTCTCCAATCCAAGTCCCGTATGTCAGAGGGAGACTCACCTGGACCATGGCGTAAGAGTCCATGCACACAGGTCAGCTACATGAGGCCTGCCATGGTTCCTGAGAGCCTCGGGGCCAGGGTGATAAGTGTGGAACACCATGTCTGACTGGAAAAGAAAGGTCTCTCCAAGAGTTGGGAAATTCCTGGCTATCATTAAAACTGTGCAAATGTTCACACATTCCCTGACCCCTTGATCCTTTTCCCCAGTCTTATCCTATCTTGTCCTCATTAACTTCGCTACGCAGTGTGAACCACAAGGATAATTCCTTCAAGGTTCTTTATTTATCTCACTTCTACTATCCCAGCTCCACAAACCCCATGATCCATCTTATAAATTGGCCTTTCCTACTTCTGCAAGTCCTCACTGAGCAGTGACAGAGAAAATTGCTGGGCCATATGGAGGTGAGTTGCTAAGCTGTCTTAGTTCTTACCTCCATGAGGGTTGGCAGGCCTTTCACCTGTCTTTGTTAGTTCCTTCCCCACACCCCTCAGATGAGGTCCCAAAATATTACTACTCTCCTCAGACCTCTTACCTGACTGCCTTCTCAATCTTTCTCAATAGAAAACCTCAACTCTTCTTCACAAAGAAAACTGAGATCATCAGACTCAATCTGTTGCAAGCAACCTACCAG